TTTTGTTTTGCGGATGAGTTTTTTTAGTTTTAAGTTACTGTAATTTCAGAAATTTCCATGCTTCTTATGTATTTGACTCTGAAGTTTTGTCATTTATGATCATTAGGATCTTGTTTTGATTCCTCATCGAGAATTTGGAAGCTGGTTTTGAGCAATTTATTGGTTTTTCTGATGACTTCAGAAAAAAACTCTATCTTTCAGGGAGAAATGGCTTCTTCTTCTGCTCATTCTAGAATCTCGAATCTCCAGAATCATCTTTCACCTCTTGAAGCAAACAACAAGGTTTCTGTATAAAAGATCCCATCTTTTTTTTTTTTTTTTTAATTTCCACCGTTTCTTGTCTTTTTCCAAAATCTTTATTTGTTTTCTCTTGCAACTGCTTTGAAGCAGCTCAGGAGTCTGGTCAAGATTTCTCCACAAGTTTCTGAAGCCTTATCCAATGGACGTGCTGTGGTCGCTCTTGAGTCAACCATTATCTCACATGGTTTGCTGTTCTTCCTTGTTCTATCTATAATTCAGACTTGCTTGAATTGCATTCTCTGGAATTTAATTGAAGTTAATTTCAAAACATAAGCTTATATTCTTGGATCTTGGTCTGATTTGAATTGTTTATCTTTAACTCGCTATTTTTAGGGATGCCTTACCCTCAAAATCTGCAAACAGCAAAAGAGGTGGAGTCGATTGTAAGAGAAAATGGAGCTGTCCCTGCAACAATAGCTATCCTGAATGGAGTACCTTGCATAGGTGAGTTAATTCTGGTTGATCATAATGTTTTCGATTCTTGGATTTGGAGTTATCGAACCTGGTAACACTAATCTCCTAGTCAACTTTGGCGGTTCTTGGAACATCTTTGGCAGTTTGCATATCCTGAAAAGCAACTTGGTTTCAAGATCTTAAATCACGGTTATTGGTCCTTTTTTTGTAAAGGATCAACAGCGCTAGACTTCTTTGACTTCCTATAGATGCTAATATATAGTAAACAGGTCTGAGCGAGGAAGAACTAGAACGTCTTGCATCTCTGGGGAAAAGTGTTCAAAAGACAGCAGGCAGGGACATAGCACATGTTGTGAGTCACTTCTGGTGGCTTTTTTACTTATTGCACCATCATTATGTTCATCAGTGAAGCGAAAAACATCAAACTTGTTTATTCTCCAGTTTACGATTCGTTTACAGTTACACACTCAGTCATGTAGGAAAAGTCTCTTACATTAGTTCACTAAATCAAATTGCATCAATCTAAGCAACCTACCCTGAACTAGCTGTTTGAGTTAGAGACAAACACGTTATTTACTCTTCCGCACCTCTATCAATCAATGCATGGACTGTTCTGCTCCTCCATATTCCTAAATGTTTTCCTTCAGGTGGCTACAAGAGGAAACGGTGCAACTACAGTCTCTGCAACGTTGTTTTTCGCTTCAATGGTAATTGGCTTTGTTCTTAGGAGGATCTTTCTTAGGTAGTTTTGGTACCATTCATTGCATTTCAGAGGACTTTTGGTTATTGTAGGTTGGCATCCAAGTTTTTGTGACGGGTGGGATAGGAGGTGTCCATAGATTTGCCAACCATAGTAAGTTTCATGTCCATTTTATTCCTTTATTTCATACTTTTTAGTTACATGATTAGAAACTCTGTTTAGATGATCGTGTTGAGTATTTTTGATGCCAATATTCGCCCCGTATGCGTGTTTGTGATGCAGCGATGGACATATCATCTGATCTTACTGCACTTGGAAGGACTCCCATAGCAGTGATATCAGCAGGCGTTAAATCAATACTTGATATTCCAAAGACTCTTGAATATTTGGTATATAATCCGTTGTCGAGGCATATTTAGTAGTCAACAATCAAGAGTTTAAGTTTTCACAAGAGCTATTTGTTGACAATGCAGGAAACTCAAGAAGTGTATGTTGCTGCATACAAGAGCGATGAGTTTCCAGCATTTTTCACAGAGAAAAGCGGCTGTAAGGTGCAAAATTGTCAATTATCACTGAACTCAATCACTTACTTCTGCTTAGATATTTAGTTCTGATGTGGATATATCGACTTCGTTAGGCACCTTCCCGTGTAAATAGCCCTGAAGACTGTGCTAGAGTAATAGGCAAGTGTAGTCTTTGTCTCAAAATTTCCTTTTTTATCAAAAGTATTTATGCACTTTGATCCCTTACCACCTTGCGGGAAAACCGCTTTTCCCAGATGCAAACATGAAGCTAAACCGTCAGGCAGGGATTTTATTTGCTGTTCCAATTCCGAAACAGCATTCAGCTGCCGGAAATCTTATCGAATCAGCAACACAGCGTGCTCTTACAGAAGCAAGGTTAATAGAAGATGATATATCTTTCGTACATGCTTGCATCAGAACAGTTCAAGGGCTTTACTTCTTTTTCTTATTACAGCGTATGAAATTTAACTTTGGTTTTGCCCAGGGAAAAAAACGTTACTGGAAATGCAGAAACTCCATTCTTACTTGCACGGGTAAATGAGTTAACTGGAGGCACGTCACTTGCAGCAAGTATCCTTTCTCTAGAGGTTCCCTTATTCATTAATATTCCAGCAAACTCCAAATCCTTTCTGTGGCTGAAAAATGGCAATGTCTCAGCATTGTAAATGTTGAATTCCTTTACACATTTTCAGACATTGCGCTTGTGAAAAACAATGCCCTTATCGGTTCTCAGATTGCAGTAGCCCTTTCTCAGCTGATGTGAGCTTGACTATCAGTCTCAGTCTCAAGCTCAAGCTCAAGTTTAGATTCAGGTTCATGACTCAGGACAAATCAAAGATGTTTGGATTGGTAGTTATCTAGTATTTTTATGTTAGTTATCAAAGATTTTTTCTTTAGTTCAAGAAACTCTTTAACATATTTTCACATGTTACATATTAGCTATTTATATATCATGTGGCACCTGATTTGTCTCCTTGTTTAACGTCCCTTAAAGATTAAACTATTGGAAAGCATGAGATATAGCATTGACTCCACTTGTTGGTATTGGTTGGGACGCATGCTTGGAACGGCCAAATTATTAATTTATATCACAAATGATCATCTCAAGGAAAGATTTGATCTAAAGAGTACATATAATAAAACCAGTCTGCTTCATCTAACCCTCTCTGCAGTTTTTGGACAACAATGGCAGCAATCAACGTTGACTTTCAGCTCTGCTTAATCTTCATCATCCTAGGGCTCTTCTCACTCTTCTGTTGCTCGGCTTTCTTCTTCAAGAAACCAAAAGAGCCACAACTCCAAGACTGTGGTCTACCTCCTAGCCCACCATCTCTACCGGTCATAGGTCATCTTCACTTTCTCCTCTCTGTTCCATGTTACAAATCCTTTCAGAAACTCTCGTCCAAGTATGGCCCCCTCCTTCACCTTCGTGCCTTCAATTCCCCAATTGTTCTAGTCTCTTCCGGCTTCATGGCCAACGAAGTCTTGAAGACCCAAGACCTGAACTTCGCTACCCGTCAACGCGAGGTTCCTATCATGGAAAGATCACTACTTTTTGGATCTTTTAGCTTTGTCTCAGCTCCTTATGGAGATTACTGGAGGTTCATGAAGAAGCTCTTAGTCACAAAGCTTCTCGGGTCTCATTCGCTCGAGCAGACACGACTCATCCGTGCAAAAGAACTCAAGACTTTCCGTGCTATGTTGTTCGATAAGGCGGCAAAGAAGGAGACTGTTGATGTGGGTAAAGAGATGATGAAGCTAACGAATAACAGCATTTGCAGGATGATAATGGGGAGGAAGTGTTCAGAGGAGAACGGTGAAGCAGAGCAAGTCAGGGGTTTGGTGACCAAATCACTTAGTATGGCGAAGAAGTTCCTTATAGCTAGCATGGTCGGTCGATTTTTCAAGCTGGTCGGGATCTCTCTGTTTGAGAAGGATATCATGGAGGTCTCGCAGATGTATGATGAATTGCTGGAGAAGATTATGAAGGAACACGAAGAAAATCCGAAGAAGAAAGAGAATATAGACATGATGGATGTTCTGTTGGAAGTTTGTGCAGATGACAAAGCCGAGTTTAAGATTTCCAGGAATCAAATCAAAGCACTTTTTGTGGTAATGTCTTGAGTTTTTTCCATTGTCTTTGATGGCTGTCACGTAAGGATCATACAAAGTCTTTATCTTTAACATTGTGCATGTGGTTGTAGGATCTTTTCATTGCAGGCACTGATACTTCAGCACAAACAACACAGTGGATAATGGCAGAACTCATTAACCATCCCGAGATTCTTAAAAGATTGAGAAAAGAGATAGAATCTGTTGTTGGGGAAACGAGATTGATTCAAGAAACAGATCTCCCCAACCTGCCGTATTTACAGGCTGTGGTGAAAGAAGGGCTAAGACTACACCCACATACGCCAATCTTGGTGAGGAATGCAACGGAAGGATGCAAGATCGGAGGGTATTACATAGGTCAGAAGACAACAATGATAATAAACGCTTATGCGGTGCTGAGAGATCCGGATTCGTGGGAATATCCAAAAGAATTTCAGCCCGAGAGGTTCATGACTTCTCCTTCAAAAGAGAAAGAAGATGAGAGAGCACAGTTAGCTTTGAACTTCATTCCTTTCGGAAGTGGAAGAAGAGGATGTCCCGGAGCAAACTTGGGCTATATCTTCATAGGAATAGCCATTGGAACAATGGTGCAGTGTTTTGATTGGAGAATCAACGGAGATAAGGTTAACATGGAAGAGACGGGAGAAATGGCGGTGAGCATGGCATATCCACTTAAATGCACTCCTGTTACTCGAAGTAACCCATTAGCTAGCTTTGAATCTGCAGATCCTTAGTTAATGGAGGAGTTTGATATGTCTTGTTGAAGTAGCAGACATATGTCTGAAACTAATAATGGAACTTGCTGTCTTTGTTGTTGTTGTTTCATATGGAGGAGTTTGATATGTCTAGTTGAAGTTGCAGACATGTGTCTGAAACTAATAATGGAACTTGCTGTCTTCATTGTTTCATAACAGAATGTGTTGTTTTTATGTATTTGTGCTGTTTCAGAACGAGATTGCGAAACTTTAGTACTACTGTAAATTGGAAAAGTTGCAGATAACAAGAAAAGCTAAAGGCATCAAAGGAAGATAGTTACACATTTTGGATAGTCTACTTTTAACTTATTACACTTTCACTACTTGCTTGCTACTTCTGATGCCACACTATAGATGATCTCCGAGCTTCAGATGAAGGCTCTACTACCGTAGAACACACGGGAGCTAGCACTCTTTGGCGTCTGCTGGGAGGAGCTTGAGTTCTCTGATGGGTCGGGCTATCGATGTCCAAAGCGAGTTTAATCTTAAACAGTGATTCAGTAAATTCCTGCAAGCTTTTCGTGTACATGTCAACAATATCTTGCTGCACTTCCTTTTGCTCTGGTTCAATGTTCACTGGCAGAACCGGTTTCACCACTGCTTCATCATCCGTCTTATCTAAATCACCATTCTTGATGATACCTGTTGGCTTCTTCGCTTCTTCACTTGATATCATCATGAGTTCCCGAGGAGCCAAAGCTAACTGCAGCTGATAGAGAAGAGGTTTCATTTTGTCAGAGACAGTATTCGTTGGAACTGCATCTTCAACAGTGTCAACAACTGCAGACTGGATGCTGTTTACCTCCAAAAAGCCGATTTTAGAGCTTGCAAAATGCAAACTCATCAGAATCAGAACAAGTAGTGGAAAATTACATAGACACCATTGGATTGTTTTCACAGACAAACTTTGAATCCAAAAAACATGTTATATATTAGATATTTTTATATCATGTAGTAATAGTGGAAGATCAATATCCATATGACCATATATTATTAGAAGTTCTACATATTTAAATATATGAGTTTCAAGCCCATGCATAGCGTGGGATGTTTTCTAGTATTAGATATTTTTATATCAGATGGTACCTGACTTGTCTACTTGTATAACGTCCCTTAAAGATTAAACTATTGAATTATTTCCTAAATTATATCACAAATGATCTCTAAAGAGTACATATAACAAAAACCAGTCTCCTTCATCTAACTCTCTCTTCAGTTTTTGGACAAGAATGGCAGCGATCACCGTTGACTTTCAGATCTGCTTCATTGTCATCATCCTATGGCTCTTCTAACTCTTCTGTCTCTATGGTTTCTTCTTCAAGAAACCAAAAGAGCCACGACTTCAAGGCTGTGGTCTACCTCCGAGCCCACCGTCTCTACCAGTCATAGGTCATCTTCACCTTCTCCTTTCTGTTCCATGTCACAAATCCTTTCAGAAACTCTCCTCCAAGTATGGTCCCCTCCTTCACCTTCGCGCTTTCAATATCCCAATAGTTCTAGTCTCTTCCGGCTCCATGGCCTACGAAATCTTCAGGACTCATGACCTGAACTTTGCTACCCGTGACCGTGCAGTTCCTATAATGGAGAAGTCGATACTTTTTGGTTCATTTGGCTTTGTCTCAGCTCCTTATGGAGATTACTGGAGATTCATGAAGAAGCTCTTAGTCACAAAGCTCCTTGGGACTCGTTCCCTTGAACGGAAACGGGTCATCCGTGGGAAAGAACTCATGAGTTTCCGTGCTATGTTGTTCGATAATGCGGCAAAGAATGAGACTGTTGATGTTGGCAAGGAGATGATGAAGCTAACAAATAACAGCATCTGCAGGATGATCATGGGGAGGAGGTGTTCAGAGGAGAATGGTGAAGCAGAGCAAGTCAGGGGTTTGGTGACCAAATCACTTAGTTTGGTGAAGAAGTTCCTTATAGCTAGCACAGTTGGTCGAGCTTTCAAGAAGCTCGGGATCTCTCTGTTTGAGAAGGAAATCATGGAGGTCTCGCAGAGGTACGATGAATTGCTAGAGAAGATTATTAAAGAACACGAAGAAAATCCGAACAAGAAAGAGGATAGAGACATGATGGATGTTCTGTTGGAAGTTTGTGCAGATGACAACGCCGAGTTTAAGATTTCCAGGAACCAAATCAAAGCGCTTTTTGTGGTAATGTCATGAGTTGGTCGTAAGGATCATGCAAAGTATTTATCTTTAACATTGTGCATGTGGTTGTAGGAGCTTTTCCTTGGAGGCACTGATACTTCAGCACAAACAACACAGTGGATAATGGCAGAACTCATTAATCATCCCAATATTCTTAAAAGATTGAGAGAAGAGATAGAATATGTTGTCGGGGAAACGAGATTGATTCAAGAAACAGATCTCCCCAACCTGCCGTATTTACAGGCTGTGGTGAAAGAAGGGCTAAGACTACACCCACATTCGCCAATCTTGGTGAGGAATGCAACAGAAGGATGCATGATCGGAGGGTATTACATAGCGCAGAAGACAACAATGATAATAAACGCCTATGCGGTGCTGAGAGATCCGGATGCATGGGAATATCCAGACGAATTTCAGCCCGAGAGGTTCATGACTTCTCCTTCAAAAGGGAAAGAAGATGAAAGAGCACAGTTAGCTTTGAACTTCATTCCTTTCGGAAGTGGAAGAAGAGGATGTCCTGGAGAAAACTTGGGCTATCTCTTCATAGGAGTAGCCATTGGAACAATGGTGCAGTGTTTTGATTGGAGAATCGATGGAGATAAGGTTAATATGGAAGAGACGGGAGAAATGGCGCTGAGCATGGCTCATCCACTTAAATGCACTCCTGTTACTCGAATCAACCCATTAGCTAGCTTTGAATCTGCAGATCCTTAGTTGATGGAGGAGTTTGATATGTCTTGTTGAAGTTGCAGACATATGTCTGAAACTAATAATGGAACTTGCTGTCTTTGTTCTTGTTTCATAACAGAACTAGTTGTCTTTATCTATTTGTGCTGTTTCATAACGAGATTGCGAAACTTTAATACTAAATTGGAAAAGTTGCAGATAACAAGAAAAGCTTGCTACAAAGAGATATCAAAGGGAGATAGTTACACATTTTGGATAGTCTACTTTTAACTTATTACTCTTTCACTACTTGCTTGCTAGTTCTGATGCCAAACTTGAGATGATTTCCGAGTTTCAGAAGAAGGCTCTACTACCGTAGAACACACGGGAGCTAGCACTCTTTGGCGTCTGCTGGGAGGAGCTTGAGTTCTCTGATTGGGTTGGGCTATCGATGTCCAAAGGGAGTTTCATCTTAGCCAGTGATTCAGTAAATTGCTGCAAGCTTTTCGTGTACATGTCAACAATATCTTGCTGCACTACCTTGTGCTCTGGTTCAATGCTGACTGTCAGAACCGGTTTCACAACTGCTTCATCATCCCTCTTATCTAAATCACCATTCTTGATGGTATCTATTGGCCTCTTCGCTTCTTGTTCTGAACCTGAGTTGTTTCCTTCACTTGATTGCTTTGAATCATCATGAGTTCCCGAGGAACCCGAGCTCACAGCAATTGATGGAGAAGAGATTTCATTTGTTGAGACAGTATTCCTCGGTGCTGCTTCTTCAACAGCAGTGTCAACAACTGCAGACTGGATGCTGTTTACTTCCACAAAGCCGGTTTCAGAGCTTGCAAACTCATCAGAATCAGAACAAGTAGTGGAGAAGTATTTAGACACCATTTGATTGTTTTCACAGACAATATTTGGATCCAAAAACTCACTCTCATCAAACTCGATAGGAGCCAACTCGGTCTCATCTGCAGTTGGAATCGCAGGAATGTGCATCACGTCGGGCGAATCTCCTGCGTACGAGAGAGACAACTCAACAAAACCCGCAGGAGAGTGATACAAATCGGTTGACGAAAGAGAGAACTCTTTCTCCAATTTCCCATTCCTCACAATCACTTCAGACAAAGGCACAAGAGTGAATCCAAGTAACTGATCCTCAAGATAATTCTTCACGCGGCTCATCATATATATCTCACACTTAAGCGAACATTCCGGATTCTTCACGTCGAACTGAAGGGTATCATCGAACACAGGGTTTCTCCCTCCACCATTGATGATCTTCGTGGACAAAGAGCTCTCGGGATCGCTTGTGAGAGAAAGCTTAGCATACACATCTTGCTTATGATAGATGCAGATGTTGTGGATGTCCCTAGCTTGGTGAACAAAAACCTCAAGCACACCGATGAAACTGTCTGAATCAGACGACATGACAAGATTCTTTGTTTTGGTTTCACCACTGCCATTCAAATGGATACTACCATTGACGATTGATGCCTCAGATTGTGGAGACTCCATAACAGGATCTGCAAACAAGTAAAAAAGCAAGCCTTTTAGAGTTTGGTTCAAATTCTTTATATAACAAACAAAAAGACACTAACTCAAACTCAAGAAACAGAAATTCCTAAGCGAATCAAATCAAATCAATGGCAAATTATAGAACTTTAAGATGCTGCAATCAAAGCTCAAGAATTCCTCAAATTTGGTCTTTTACCTGATCTGAAGCAAAAAGCTATAAACTTGATTATGATCAGGAAGTGCTTAATCAATTCACTAAGTTACTAAAACAATTTAACTTAGACGCATCCTTTAAAACAACAAAGAGAAAGGGCACACATGGATTCCAAGAAAGCAATCAACTTTCTCGAGGAACAAAAAAACCCATAATCCAAGGGACGAGAACGAATTTTGCAGATAAGAATAAGGATAAAGTTGAGATTTTTATGATAAAGGGTTCTCGTTATAAGTAAAAGACGAAATTGAGGCTCTGTTAACCTTTAATTGAGGAGAAGAAAGGTCAAAAAGAAGAAAGCTATTCTCTGTTTTTCTTCTTCTTGAAATTTGCGCTGAGGATTATACAAAAAAACCCACTTGGATTGTGTTTTCTTGAGCTTTGCAACGGACAAGGAAGAGAAGTGGAAGAAGAAGAAAGATGTAGAAAAGTGAAAGAGGAACAATTATTGCGTTATTGTTTAATATTCAGTGTGAAATAGACTTTTCTAAGTAGGCACGATCCAAAACCTAGTCTCTTTCCAAACCCTTTCTCTCTCGAGAGCATCCGCCGCCCAAACAAAAAACCCTAGATTCAGATCTGTTGCCTCTCCGCCGCCAGGGGCGTTTCGCCGGCGGTGAGAGAGGGCCCTGTCTTTTTCCTTTTCGTTTTCTTGTCTTTCTGTGTAGTAGTAGGTAGACTCAATTGCTGCGTCCCCGGTGAGCTCAGGAGTAGCTATCTTGTAACGGAGAGATGATGCGGAGGCGGTAGCTACAGGGACGAGATCTCGGCTCGATTTCCTTTCCGGAAGGATGGTGGTGTTTCGGAGCTGCTTATTGCGGTGTCCCGTTTCCCTCTGACCTCTCTTTGGAAATCCTAGCTAACCGGAGAACAGTGGCTGAGTCGGAATAAGAGTCGATGACGTTGGGAAGTTGATATGGTCGACGGTGCCGAGATTTGAGGATGTCCTCAAAAACGGAGATCTAGAGAGCTTCCTCAAGGTCTGATTTCAGTCCGACGATGGTGCGAGTCAACAAGGCTGCGACGAGACTATTCCGGCCATGCACCGTGAGGTGATGTGATACTAATCTGTGCTACATTGCCTTATATCTAGGTGATTGGTATCCTGGTTATTGATTGGTTAGCTTGGAAAAATCTCTGGTCATGCTGGTTTTGTGTCGCACTCTCGGTCGGGTTAGTCGGATGTATTGTCCGTTTTGGGTCAAGACCAGAACATTGAAAGCCGGGGATACTGAGTCTTTCTGAAGTTGCGCCTCTGGGCGGCGATGCTATTGGGACACGTTCTACACTCCGATCATTAGGGACTAATAGCTTGGATTTACTTTGTCTTTCAGATTAGTTTCAGTCTTGTCCGTGTTAGTAGTTGTTCTTGTGTCATTTAGGTTCAATCTAGGTGGTTATCATATTCCGTGTTGTGGAGTATTATCTATCTTGTGGTAAAAAAATGCAATGGTTTCTCGCATCAGGTAGCGCTGGATCCGATAGTGTTTCAGGGTGATACTAGATCGAACCATTGCATTTGGTCCAATTCTAAAGAGGTGAATGAAATGTACCTTGAATTTGGATGTAATCCTTGGATAATGAAAAGTTGAAGTTGAGCCAAAAAAAAAAAAAAAAAGTAGGCACGATCCACGGATTATAGACGCCTCTCTCTTTTTTTTCTTTCAAGTTTTTATTTTTGTTTGTATTCAGTTTCTATACCACAACGGCTCTAAAGGTTCTAAAGAAACTTACTTTACAAAGATTTAAATCTTGTATCTTTTTTTTTTACTTTTTTTGTTTTTGGCACTAGAGGAGGAAGATATGGACCACAATTCTGATTGGTTTGATTTGGTTCTTGTATCAGAAAGTTGTTTGGTCTTGCTTGGTTATAAACTGGTTTAAAACCCCATTCACATAATCTTCGATGTCATTGTTGTCTTCACTAGGTTTAACATAACCATTACCATAACTTCAGTGAAGTAGAAGAATAACACGAGAAGCTAAGAGAATAAACATAAGGTTGAAGTGATAACAACAAATCTGATTTGTATATATATTCTACATGTGCCACATAGCTTCAAATTGGTTGTTCATGGTCAAAAATATGATCTCTTACAGTTAAAAAATCGGAAATGAGGTAAGAAACTAATCAACCACGAGCGGTTTTTCTTAGTTCAGTTTCCAGTTTTGTAGAACCGTAAGGCAGGTCATAGAATTCAGCTAGGTATGTCAAAGCTTCAAAGTTGTTGTTGCATACCTTCCACAATGCAGAAATTTCTCCTTTAGAAACAGTTCCCAAGTTTTCACAAGTCTCAATGAATTCAAGCAGCTTTGAATAGAAAGAATCATAATTCATCACAATGAACGGAACCGGTAAAACAGATCCAATCCTTTTGAGCTGAATTAATGCCAAAATCTCAAACATCTCATCAAGCGTGCCAATTCCACCTGGAAGTGCAATTATCGCCGTCTTATCAGAGACACTGTTTCTTATCACAGCATCTACTAATCCATGCTTTCTCGCAGAGAAAAACCTGAACGTGGTTTCCACATTTTAGGGATCACTCGATCACAGTAAACAATGGTGTGTGGCTACTGGCTACGTTTACCTGCAAGTATGGTAATTCAGAGGAGGGAGATAAGGATGAAACTTCGATGCAGTCCATTCACCGGCTTCTTTTTCTATTTTGATGCCACCGACCGGTTTCTCAGCTTCCAAAGCACCTTTAGTCACAGCATCCATAAGTCCTGGTCCAGCTCCAGACCATGTAGTACAGTCCAACAGATTTGCTGCCTGATGAAATACACAACTCTGAGAAATCTATATCGTAAAACTAATAAACTAAGTTCCTGTGGAGTCTTTCTTACTTCTCTGCTCAACTCTTGTGCTTGCAGGTAATGTGAATGGTTTGGTGGGATTCTGGCAGAACCTAAGTACACAATGCCTCTCCCGAGCCTACGTACAAGGTCGAAGCAAATCCCTAGCTCTTTCTTAACCTTTCCAACAATGGCAATTCAATGGAATAAGGTAGAGAATAACAGCTCACATAACCTATATCGGAATGGCTTTCAAGGAAAAATTATCAGAACTTAAAAACCGAAATCTACAAAGAAGATTAAAGATAGAGTGAAATTTACTTCTTCATTCAATTGAACAAAAAAAGGCCAAGACTTTAACAGGAGATATCAGAATTTAAGCTTGTTCTTGGCTTCTAATTCTCTAAGGACTTAGCAATCTAAGCAAAGCCAAAGTCTTTCTCTCCTATGATGAACTTGTTCATGACATTCTGTTCCAGGAGTAGAAATGAGAACAGTTCAATGAACTTCTAACACAGATTCGAAATTGAGATTTTAGTTAGTTACCTCAAATGGGCTACTTCTCTCAACAAAATCCTCAGACCTGCACTTTAGAGCTCGAACTGAATATGCCCTAATTGAATAATCAAACCTCAAGTTCAGAGAAATTGGAACTCTTTCTGTCAAAGAGCGTGCGAGTTTTTGAGTTGGTGAAGGAGACACCTTGAAGGATAATCGGAAACTCCATGAGGAATCCAACATCGAAAACCCCATTTTCTTGATTCTCACTTCCTTTATTGGCGAACAAAACTACTCAGGCTCTCTCTCAAATTGTCAATTTAGTATCTTGACAGAAATTAAAAGTTCCAATTTTTATCTCCGTTCACAGTAGCTCCATGAGCCTCATGCCCACTCCAAAGCTTAGGGCTTTTATTATTAACTAATAGAATTGTTACACGTGGCTGTTCTTGAACCATTGATTGATTGATTGATTGATTCTTTCAGTAATATTTCTAGTGCAAGTTAACAGTTAAAACACTGATCTGTTTTTTAAAGATTTGTTGTTGCAACTTGCAAGTTTTATACATTCAACACATGGTGGCACATGCAATCCAGCAACTACCAACTAATTCCAATTAATATTTAATACACAATTCTTTTAATATCAACTACACAAAAAAAGAGAAGCAACCTTTCTTCTATAACGAGTAAAAAAAAAAAGGAACAACAATTTGGCTCTATTGAAGAAATGGGGTCAAAATTTCATGCTTTTATGTACCCATGGTTTGGTTTTGGTCATATGATTCCATATCTTCATCTAGCCAACAAACTAGCTGAGAAAGGTCATACCATCACTTTCTTCCTTCCCAAGAAAGCTCATAAGCAGCTCCAACCTCTCAATCTGTTCCCAGACAGTATTGTCTTGGAGCCTCTTTCTCTCCCTCCTGTCGATGGTCTCCCTTTTGGCGCCGAGACAGCCTCGGATCTCCCAAACTCAACTAAGAAACCCATTTTCCTTGCCATGGATCTCCTACGCGATCAGATCGAAGCTAAGGTCCGTGCTTTGAAACCAGATCTAATCTTTTTCGATTTTGTTCATTGGGTTCCAGAAATGGCAAAAGAGTTTGGAATAAAGGGTGTCAATTACCAGATTATATCAGCAGCTTGTGTAGCTATGGTTCTTGCACCTAGTGCTGAATTAGGGTTTCCTCCGCCGGGTTATCCTTTATCCAAAGTAGCGTTACGTGGACATGACGCTAACGTCTGTTCTCTCTTCGCGAATTCCCATGAGCTTTTTGGTCTGATTACCAAAGGCCTTAGGAACTGTGACGTCATTTCCATAAGGACTTGCGTGGAACTTGAAGGTAAACTATGCGGTTTCATCGAAAGAGAATGTCAAAAGAAACTTCTCTTAACCGGTCCAATGCTCCCTGAACCTCAAAATAAGAGTGGTAAACCTCTGGAAGACCGATGGAATCATTGGTTAAACGGATTTGAACCATGCTCGGTAGTGTTTTGTGCGTTTGGCACTCAATTCTTTTTCGAGAAGGATCAATTTCAAGAATTCTGTTTAGGAATGGAGCTAACGGGTCTACCGTTTTTAATAGCGGTTATGCCGCCAAAAGGCTCATCAACGGTTCAAGAAGCGTTACCAGAAGGATTTGAAGAACGGGTTAAAGGGCGTGGAATCGTTTGGGAAGGATGGGTGGAACAACCTTTGATATTGTCTCATCCATCAGTAGGTTGCTTTGTGAACCACTGTGGGTTCGGTTCAATGTGGGAGTCTTTGGTTAGTGATTGCCAGATTGTGTTTATCCCACAATTGGCTGATCAAGTTCTCATCACAAGATTGTTGACCGAAGAACTCGAAGTCTCAGTGAAGGTGCAGAGAGAAGATTCTGGATGGTTCTCGAAGGAGAACTTGAGGGATACGGTTAAATCTGTGATGGATAGAGACAGTGAGATTGGGAACTTGGTGAAGAGGAATCATAAGAAATTGAAAGAGACTTTGGTTAGTCCTGGATTGTTGAGTGGTTATGCTGATAAGTTTGTAGAAGCATTGGAGAATGAAGTCAACAACACAAAATCTTCTTGAATTGAAATACTTTGAATGTTCCAAAATAATGTCGTTTTACATTCTGAAATTTAGATATAAAGTCTTACTAAGAAATGAGGGATCTCACACTCCAATTTTTCTCTAATAGATTTTTCTCTAATAATTGTGGAAAGATCATTACAGTTAATTAAAACAAAAAACAGTTACAAGGTAAAGAAGTATTAAAAAAAATTATAAATAGAGGCATAAAGATTTCAGAACAATCCCAAGGCAGAAGCAGCTTGAGACTTCCAATGTCTAGCTTTTTCAAACCCATTTCTAAAATTCTCAAAATCGTCAATGGTCTCATCAATCTCTTCTTGTGTGTTCATAACAAAAGGACCAAACTGAACCATTGGTTCACCTATAGGCTCACCAGCCACAAGGATGAACCGAAGTGGCAAACCGGAATCAGAGCCGTTCCAAGCCTCTAACCGGTCACCACCTAGGCCTAGAACCAGCAAGTGGTGTGCGGCAGCGGCTGAATGTTGTAACTTGGAATCCCCAAAATGGCCCTGGCCTTGAAGAACATAGACAAACGCGTTCCAATGAAGTGGAATGGGCTGAGAGATTCGAGAACCTGGCGAGAGAGTGAAGTCTAAATACATTGTTGGTGTTCTTGTGCAGATCTTTGACTTAACTCCATTCCATTCTCCTGCTATGACTCTAACTCTCACACCGTCTTTCTCTGTTTCTGCTATGTCTTTACTCTCTATCTCTTGATAACTCGGCTCCACTCTGCGAATTCACGGACTTTCAAGTAAGAAGAGACCTAGCTAATCTAGTATATAAAAGAACATGTATCACTCCACTCATTGCCAATTGGTTAATCCGTGAATATTTTACATCGAAGAAGCTTACAATTTGTGTTTTGAGGAGAGATTGATCCAAAGTTGCAAGCCCTTGTTATGAGTAATGCCATTGGAATTAGAAGAAGGCATTTCAGAGTGAACAATGCCTTTGCCTGCAGTCATCCATTGTAATCCTCCTTCTCTTATTACTCCTTTGTGTCCTTCACAGTCTTCATGCAAAATTTCTCCCTATGTATATATACAAATTCATCAAGAGTTACGCGTGGTGATTCTTGCGAAATCGAATAAGAAGACGGGAAGAGATCATTACCTCTAACATGTAAGTAACTGTCTCAAATCCTGATTTTGGAAAAGATACAAAATATTAATTAACAAGAAGAAGTGAAGAACATTGATATAGTGATACTCTGATAGGTTTGGTGAATTATTTTTTGTTGATTATGTTTATGAAACATAAGCGTCAAACTCACAAATGAAAGGTATTTTACTAAAATATTTAAAAAATTAAATTTTGACATTCAGAATACTTTATTTTTCAAACTTAAAACGTGTAAATTGCGTTTAAAATAATGGATAACAAAACCAACCTCTGTGTGGATGATCTGGGAATCCTGCAGGAGCTGAAACTGCAATTTTTTAAAGATTTGCTATCATTAAAATCTTATAAGCTGGATTCAAAAGAACAGAGCAAAAACAGAGGAATGAAAAGAGACAAGACCCACCTGAGAATTCATCCAACACAAGAAATGGGTCCAAGTATCTGAACTCAAACCTGCAAAATTTCACAGATTTTAAACCTTGTTTTCATAACTACACTTGGAACTAATGAAACTTTTCTTTTAGCTGTTGTTATGTTTTTGTAATTTTTGGTTACCTTCCGATGCTTCTTCTTACAACAGCACCAAATCCTTCGTGTTGCTGTCTTGCGAAAAGCTTCTTAACAACTAACCTCTTATTATTATTAATAGCAGAAGAAGATCTCTCTGAGATTGGCATCTTGAAACTCTGAGAGAGTTAGTGAAGAATATGTTTATTTGTTGAATCTCTGATGATGAAGATGTATTTATAGTAAGGAAAGAGTTGTTGTATTGACAGTTGGCCAAATTAAGAAGATGATCATTAACCCAAAACTAAGATGATTCATTATTAGTCAATGTTTTAAAATTATAGTATTACTATTTGGATTTAAATATCGATGGTTTGAGCTGCGTCATCAATTCATCATCTTCTATCTCTATACAAATAAAACTCGTAATAAAGATGTTTCATTTCGAAAGGCAAAAGTGTGTAAATCACACATATTGATTCGTTAATGGACCCCGTGGATATATCCCAATTATTGCATTTTTTCTTGATTCTTTTTTATATCAACAGTTTTTTTTTTTCTTTAGAGGTAGTCCATTTTTTAAAAGTTTCGTAAAAAAAAAAGTATTTGTGTCAAATTCGAATTAAGGTCCGAGTCCGACAATGCTGTTACAACATCCATCTAAACAGTATGTCGTTTTATTTTAGCTTTTAATCGGTAAAAAAATGTATTGTTCTAATTGTTGATATCGTTTTTGATATTGCTTGACTGATTTGAGTTACACAAAAACAAAACAATTCTTACCAATATATCAATCAGGGTTACATAGGAACAATACATTTCATACCACAATACATAGGAACAACACATTTCTTACCACAATACATAGGAACAACACATCTCTTACCACAATACATAGGAACAATACATTTTTCTACCACATATCAAAGCCTAAATTTCCATTTTGTTATAATCATGTAGATAATTTAAAAAAAAATCACGGAAAGTTAAGCTGTTTCATAAAAGTTGTGTAGCTAAAGTATTTCTGCAGAAAACCAAAGAAAAAAAGTAAAAAAAAAAAAAAAAAGTTGTCCAAATAGAAAGTAGCCTTAGTTCAGATAAGCGCACACGTTTATCAGCGACAGCATGACGTAAGGATGACGGTTTGACCATTTATATAATTCCCTTTCTCATGGTACTACTTTGAAGGGTCAAAGACAAAGACACAGACCCAAGCCATTGAATATTGTTTATAACTAACCCCATAAAACGACAAAGATAAACTAAAACAAAATTTCTAGAAACTCCATTTTGTTTGTCTGACGAATGATTACGTAAACATGACATCCATCAAGGATCTAAGTATTTTCCAATATAACAAAATTGACCATGTACAAAAAGAGAAAAAGCAAGCTTTCAATGGGCCAAGAATAGATTCCAAATACTTAAGTTTGAAAATTGGGGAAACTATTTGAATTTGGATTTTTCACATTCATTCATCATCTTTTCTTATAGGGCTTGTTGTCTTTTTACAAAAATGGAGAGTGTTTTGACCGATTGATTACACAACACAATCATCATCTACATGTTCATAGTTGTAGCAAAACTGAGTTCTTTTTAAAAAAAGACTCAAGTTTGATTGGTCAGTGGTCAGTGGAACAGTGGTCAGTGGAACAAACGAATGAAACCAAAGTTTTTGACTAATATCACAGAAAACCAAAGTTTTTGTGTGGTTTTGAGAATCCAAACTTACGCGTGAAGAAAACCAAGGTTTTTGTGTGGTTTTGAGAATCCAAACTTACGCGTGAAGTGATGTTTTCATATAATTAATAGTAAGATATTATTTCGATGATTTAATTCTTTTAATTCATTCGACTAAGTTTGAATTCTCAAAACTACACAAAAATTTTGGTTTTCTGTGGTATTATTAGTCACATATTTTAGAATCTTTCGATCTTCTTTTATTTCATGTTGTATTAGTCTTATGTTTTTTTTTAGCTATGTGCCTATGTCCGGGTATTTTGTTTAGCTAGTAAAACAAAAACCTGTGTCTCTTTCTATTTCCATGTAAGTTTACCAGTTTTTGTTTACCTCTCCATAAAAAAGAGTATGGATTCGTTAACTTAATGAAATGGAATTTGATTGTAAAAGATTATCTCTTATTATCTCTAACCAGTAACCACTTCTTAATACCTACTTTTATTCCAGCCGCTAAAAGAATTTACAAACTAAAACGTTTTAAACGATGGTTACTAATTAGTTAAAAGTTTTATTTATTCTTACATCCTATTAGGCCATTAGCTAACTAGATGTATGATTTTGCATTAATCATTTGCTTAATAACGACAAGAAAAAATCAAATCCCTTCTATGTAAAACCAGAAATATCTCATTAATTTATAACATCATAAACAGAGAGTTATAAGTTTGATGTCAAATCATAGTTTCTTGTGAAAAAAAAAACATAAACTTTCAACTTATATGGGATCATCAACAACACTTACTACTACTACAACATTAATTTGACAACTTGTTCCTTCGGATCATGCATGAGTTTTACTTTTACAAACATATTCTGCAAACTGTAAAAGAAGTTCCTAATCTCTCGAAATTTCTGAAACCAAGCAAAGTTTTAATTTGTTACCTACCTCCAAGCACAAGAAGTGATAAGAGGTTGATTCTTCCATCCTAAATACAATGCTCCATCTCTTTCTTCAAGTGTATACTTCTCTGAGTAACTCTCAAGCAATCCTTTGATTGTTGCGTTCACATACGAGCTCAGCGGATACGGTTTAAACCCCGCCATGTGAAACCGAGACCTCCATTTCCCTAGTGGCTCGTGCCTCTCTTCTCTTTCGACACCTTCACAAGCTATAAGATTCACAACCTCTCTAGCCAAACAATGCTGCTCAACATTGATCCTTTCCTTGTGATCTCTTGCGAGTTTCACATCGATCGATTCGAAAACTGCCAAGTAATGGTTCATTGTCTCGACAAACCGGGGAAGAAACGGCGCAGTGTTTGTATTCGCTTCTTGCTCGACCAGAGTCACGACGTTTGGCGACAAACGTTTGACCAATCTCAACAATCTATCTCTGTGATTCTCCACAGTTACGCTCTCATCAGGCATGTGGTGAAGAACAAGTGGGAAGTTAACCGCGAGTGCTTCTCCATTTCTAACTCCTAGCTTCTCGATTTCGACTTCCGTGCAGCATAAAGCAGCTCCGTGGAACTCAAACGGCACACCGCACATTTCCGCTAGCTTCCCGAGTCTTTGTCCAACTAGTTCAAGTCCTCCTTGTCGAGCAAACGATGATCTCGGATCATCAATTCCCGTTATCCTAACTTTCGGAGGTCCACCAGGTCGAGCACCGAGAGCACGGATCAAACTCACCCATTGACCGCCTTGAGAAATCTGGAAATCGATAATGTGCACAAAACTTTCGTTCTTCACAGCTTCAGCTATAGCTCCATTAGCAGATTCATAACCGAATTTGAAGTAAGGGCAGGCTTCATACAAGATATGCATATAAGTAAGAAGCTCAGGACCCGTAGGGTCTTTGCATCTCAAAGCTTTATAGATGGAGCTACCCGAAGAAGCTAACCTCGCAACGAGCCCTTCAAGCATATAAGCTCCTAAGCGCTGAACAGGCTCACCAGAAACCGAAACCATTTGCTGTAACTGAGAAATCAACCAATCAGTCATTTCCAAATCATAGTTTTCAACAGCTTTAGCACATTCATAGAGCACTCCTTTTAAATCTCCCCTAGAGATCATCTCCATAGATCTATACATAGCTGTAGAAACAACTCTATGTTGCTGTCCAAACCCGCCTTGATGGTTAAAGCTGTTGTCTAAATCAGGCTCCATCATTGCAGTCTCCAAATCTTTAAGCATGAGACTAAGCTCTGTCTCGTTGTTGTTTGTCGCGGAAGAACCGCTCAAAGGAGAGTTATTGTTTTCATCAGGGGAATGATTGTTAAACCGCGATAAGTTGTTGTTGTTGTTGGCTTGCGAAATAGGACTTTCATTAGAGGAAAAGCTTGTGGTTGAAGAAGAGTTGTTTTTGTTGTTAAGACAAGGATGAGACTTTGTGCCTGAAGAGGACTCAAGTGTGCAGTAAGAATCAAATGTCTGAACGGATAAGTCCATTTGTTTGACTGAAGATGGTTGATGGTAAAACATTGAAGATCCTTCTTGAATCATATGCTTCTGAGTAGCTTCCATATCTAAATTATCTGCCACCAAAAAAAAAACAGAATCTTTATGTAAGAACCCTAACTGTTCATCTTTAGATTCTTAAAAGGTTGGATCTTTAAGTAGATAGATTCAATTAAAGATCGGCCCAATAGAGAAAAATCATAAACAAGATTGAATTCAATCATCATTAGGGAGAAAGTTGAGAGCTTTTTAACCGTAATTATGAGCTAAGACCTAAGACAACTGTTACATAAACCCTAAACTCAATTTTCAACACAGCTCAAACCAAAAAACAAAGTAAGTTGTGTTCTGCAACTAGATTGAAAGAAACAAGAACTCAGCCAAAGCAACCGACATAAAATAAAAAGATGGAAACTTTGAGATGGAGAATCTAACCTGGTTGTTGATAGTTTGCAGAGAGAAAGATTTTGAGACTGAGTTTGAGAGATTCTTTGAGATTTCAAGAAGAAGATTTGGTTGATATACTGATTTTTGAAGCTTCAAGGTAAAGAGAGAATCAAAAGAGAAGTGCTTTGTTTGTTGATGATACCACTTGCTTGCCTACTTTCCACCAGGGGAATAATAATAAAACGCTTAACCTCATTTTTATCCTCATCTCTTTCTAAAGCTAAATACCCCTTTGACTATTCATTTTTACGATTTTGCCATTGTTGCTAATTTTGTACCGCGTAAAGAATAACAACCTTTATTTCTATTAACAGTCAATATTAGTATGACGAGTAACAACAACTGTAATATATAATTGGAAAAAAAACAAAAAAAATCCAAAACAAGTGTCATGCATTACATCATTATTATCTGAGGTATTGAATCATACGAGTATTATATAGTAATGATTTTCATATATTAAATGCTGGAGTATGAGATATATAATATTAAATGATGAAATAAATGAAACATTTGGGAGTTAATGAGAGTGGTTGAAATGTCGTGGGCTTGACCATGTTTTACTGGAGTCAAATTCCGTTTTTTTTTTCTTTTTCAAATTCCATTTTTTTGTTAAGTAATTCAACTTGTAACAGTTTTTGTTTGCTTTTTTTTTAAAACTAGAAAATTCATGGAACCAAGATCAATAATAGGATATATCAATGTTGCGTTTTCCACAATAATAATATAAAAAAATTCAAAAAAAAAAAACGAATTTTGTTTCGTCTTTGTATATAGACTATATTTTATGTAATTCCAATTGTTCGAAAGGAATGAAACACGAGCAAAAGCAAAATAAAATGGGTAGTTGTCAATTGAGTATAATAATAGTAGCACATGGTTCTTCAAAATATTGATGTTAATAAAGTCTTTGGAATAAAATAAAAAAACGTACGAACCGGATAATTACGAAGACTTAAGAAAATAAAACAAATCATGATGGTGATTTATTATATTCTATGTGTCGACGAATGTATGAAAGCAATAAACATTTTTTATGTTGTCCTTTTTAGTGAAATCTTGAGTCCTCAATGAACAATCAAAGTACATAAATTAATGTTATTACCAAACTAACAATATCGTGATTTATAAATTATAATGCTTAACCATATAATTTCATCTTATATATAATATACTTGATTTCGTTTACCATACTAAAATTGTGTACCTCATGTCTAAATTGTATTTTTATTTTTGACAGCTAAAATAGATCTTGTTCTCATCTTTTAGTATAGTAAAAAAAGTCGAGGGTAAAATGGTCCGCACAGACGCAAAAGTCGATGAGATCGAAAAGAAAAGGTGATGAGATGACACCAAACGTGCAAGCCAGGGGTTGGTCCAACACTTATCATTTTTAGGCCTAAAAGTTTGTGATTATTCCCTGCCTTTTTATCCTCCCTTTTTTATTTTATTTTAATTTACCATTTAACATAATTACTTTTTACATAAATATCAGTGAGATTTCTTGGAGTTTTTTTTTTCGTGTTCAAAGATCAGTGAGTTTTTTAGTTTGACTATTGTGCATCACACATTCGTTTAACCAGTGGTACGTAACAGCTCAAGCTCATTGACACACTTGTACAATACATATTTACGACGAATGTGAATGGATACACTTTATTATAAAATGAAGCATTCATTGTAAGTAATCTTACTTAATCTTACTTCAAATATCGTCTATATTACTTCACATAAAATTTAATTGCATAATCAATTTTTTTAATCTGGACAAAACAATATATTTTGATCCAAACCAAACCGAAATAATCTATTCAAAAGTAGAGTCATATCTTAATAGATTTGAATAGATTCATAATATGAATATCCCAAACAAACAAAAAAATTGAATCTTAATCAAAAACCTAACCGGAAATAGAAACAAATCTAAAACCGAAATTTCTTTGAAAAATAAAAATATATGTGGTTGAAACTTGAATACGAACCAAAACCACACCAAGTACTGATCAAAATCAAATGATATTTTAAATTGAATATTATTATATTCATATACCAACAATCTTCAAACCCAAAATCCCAAACCTAAACATAATCAAAATTTTCAATAATAATGAATGACACTTTTAATGTATTTGGTATTTAGTTTAAAATAATATTTAAGTCGTCTACATTTAGTGTGAGAGACTATCTTGTAATACAATACTAGATCCGGACCCGCACGTACGTGCGGGGTTTTATATTTTAATATGCGGGGTGAATATGTGTTGTATAACATATAATGAAAACCGGTATAACATATAGTGTTGTATAACGTACATGCGGGTTTTTTTTGTTTGATTGGTTTAAAAGTTTGGAAAGAAAGATTAGTAAGAATTTAGTAATTTTGTTTGGTGAATGATTGGATATCTTTGTTTGGTTTTGTTGAATTATTTAGAAAGTTGCAAAATTGGGTGTAATATTTGTAAAACCAAATTATTATTTTAATTTATATTGTATATTTTTATTTCTTAAACTATAAAATTATTTGTTTGGTGAAATAAAATTATTGTTTGTAATTTGATGCAATTTTCATAAATATAAATGATTATTTAAAACATAATGGCCCATGAATGAATCACCCTTTAATTTGGATTGGGCCGGAATTTTGATAGACCCATTAAGTAGTAGATCCATGGTTTCGTTTTTGCCAGATCCGGACCCGCACGTACATGTGGGGTTTTGTTTGTATTTGTTTTTTTTATAAATAGCATTTAGGCATGTTACCCATATTCGATCTGTTACATGTCTCGAACAAAAGGTAGCTATGATTTTAGGATCGGGTAAAAGGTATTGTAATTTTATTACTCATCGGTAAGGGTCGAGTATCGAGTGTTTATATTATTTTAATACATGTCTCAATCTGTTTCTCGCTTTACTATCCGATCCGTAAATACTCGCTTTATTAGTATTTTATAATATTACTAAAATTTTGTAAATATATCTTATAGTAAAAGATAAAACCTAAGTTTGTAATTTTATACTTTTAAAAAATATATGTTGTATATGTTTATGAATTTTTTTTTTGTAAACAGATAATTATGTTTTGGAATATGAAATTATTATGCAGTTACTGATTTTTTTTACACATTTATTATCACTAAATATTTATATACGGATAAAGGTCGTGTATCTAGTGGATCAACTATTTTATCGGGTACCCGTTTTTCCAAATTTCACATCTGTGCAGAGGTTTGTTTGTGTTTATATTATTGTGTATAGCAATACATTTTTGGTTGGTTTATAAAATTTACCTAGCTTAAGTTTGTAAAAATTCGCTAATTCTTTTTTAAATAATTATCTGTTCGAGAATAGTTATTTTTAGATTCAGACGAAATACTCGTATTTTCTGTTTAAAGATTTAATTTTTACAAAATCAATAAAGATTATCCAAATTACATGTTCTCATCCCGTATCCTTTATATCCACTATTTCTATAATATAATGTTGATGAGTTGTTGTTAGTAGAGTGAGTTAATTGAAGAACAATCACTCTATTATTATTAGTTTAAGTACCCATTTATGTTTTGCATATAGGCCCAAAAGCCTTTTTTTTTGTTAAGTGACTAACGTCAAGTTTCCTCGCCTTGTAGAAAAATCAATTTCCAACAGATTACAGATACCCAAAAAAAAAAAAAAAATTACTGCAATTCGTTCTCTTTCCCAAAACACACAAATCTTCTCTTTTTGTTCTTTCATGCTCAGGGTTCTTTCGATTAATTGCATAATTCATTTTCTCCATCAACGATCAGAGTAGTCGATTAGTAATCTAGGGTTTTTATTTCTCGTTTCTGTTTCTGGTTTACTCACCACCGATGACCTATTGCGAGGAGGACGATGCGGATTCTGAACTGCGAGATAGAGTGGAAGATGATGTAGTTCAGAAATTAGGCCATTATTTAAAACTTCGCGAGGGCTTCGAAGTATTTCTCAAGAAGCAGAGCATGAAGAGGAAGAAGATTCATTATCACCGTCTTTTTCTTCTTCTTGTGGACGGGAAAAATCTGTGTGGTTAAGTTCAAGCTTGATCTTTTCTTCGCGATTCTAACTACTTCGGGTCTCGCTGGTTACAAATGGCTCGCCCCTTCAATCATGGATAAGGTTTAAAATTTCCTCCATTAAAGATAATTCAATGCATGTTCCATTACAATGATTCCTTGTTCCCAAAATCCAATGTTAAATTGATGTTCAATTTGTTCTGTTCTTTGGAAATTTTAGATCTTTATCAATTGGGTTTAATTAGGATTTCATCAATTAATAATCACTCTTGAATAAGATTTTAAGTACTGACCACAAGTCTCTTTGATGTAATTGTTCGTCTATTGTAGAAAAAAGGTTCATATATAAGATTGGTTCATGTTTCATGTGAATTTGTATCTGCCATTACATTAAGATCAGATTAGCCCAAATAAGGTTTTTATTATTACTGTAATACTGTCCATCTTTTAATTCGTAGAGCTAACATCTCTTAATCTTACGGTTGAAGAAATAGTAAAAAATTGGGTAGAAAGAAATATTGTCTATTGTTTCAAATTTGATAGTTCACAATGTTTAAGGTTACGTAGTCACTGCTTTGAGTTCTTTTTTTTTTTTTGAATATACAGAAACCGTTACAATGTTAAGAGAACATATGCTGAAGAGTGCTATACATTTTGGCATTAGAAATTCGATAGCAATGGATTTTGAGAAGTATCAACAACAAAGGTAAGTTCTCTTCTTGAATCATCTTGAATGTTTCTTTAGAGCAACGACAATAGAGACATCATAATACATGATAATAAAAATTTACAACCAATTAAAAAATTTAAGAAACAAAAAAAATAGAAAAGTTTGTTCCATGAAGTTTTCCCATTAAGAAGTTTTCAGCATAGTTTACATTTGTGGTTCTTTCAATAATATCTACAAAATTCCCAACAGAAATTTGAGACTACTTACAATTGAAAACTCTGTTGATTGTTTTTAAAATATTTCAAGATGCGGGAGCCATGTGCCATCTCAATAACTCTATATTCTCCAACTTTAAGAAATCTCAGAAAGATCGGCGAGCTAATTTTTTTGTGAGTAGCAACAGCAAAACTATTGATCGGCGATATTTTCCTCTTGATTTGGCTAGTGTAAAATTCTCGATAATTCGCCACTCTGCAGAGGTAATGAACCTCTGTAGTTTGTTCACTTGTTGCTTCTTAATAGTAGCATGGATCAAAGTACCCTGCAAAACCAAAAAATAACTCATGTTAAACATAGATTGACATTGATGTTTACAACTCACGATTATTTGAAACTAAGAAGGATATAGTTACTTACAGATGTATCAGCAAGAATCATCTCCACTGTTTCCCCTGTGAATTGAGTGTATTGAGTCCACGAATGCACAATCTTAACTTGAATTCTCCATTGTGTGTTGAAAGGTTTGATTTCAGCAAGGTTGGTGAATGGTGCAATAGCTGTCAATTTTTTTAGAGGGATCGTGAAGAGAAAAGGTAAAACAATGAAAAGGTGAGTTCAATAGTAAACTAAACCCTATATTTATAGTAATGAAAGTCGTCTATAATTCTTCTAGGGTTTAGAGATTTACCGGTAAGGTGATAAAAATCTTATAGAATATTTAAGGTATATGCTTGATTATATGCGAATTTTTGAATTGTTTTTATGGTTTATTTGGTTGATTCTCGGGATTAATTTTGATTTGAAAAGATTTTTTCATTTAAAATATAAACTAACTAAGGAAATGTAATTCATCGAGTTAGTTTTTAGTCGATATAGGGAATATGCGGGATTGAGATCCCATAGATTTATCCGTAATATTTTGCTTTAAAAGTCGCATTTATATTTTGAGTTGTTATAGAATGATTTTTTGAAGATATTGAATCTAAAATGGATATTTCAAGAAACAGTTTTTGTTATTTGTGGTAAATAACAATAAATGGAATGAAATATAAATCAATAAGTTTTCTTTTATTAATTGTAATATATGGGATTGGGTTGTTATAGAAATATAGGAATAGAGAGATTCAAATTCTCATATATAGATTTGGTTGTTATGGTAATATTTCATAAATGTATTGACTGCTGTTTTTTTATTTTCGTAACATAACAGTTTATTGGATCGAGGCTATTGTTCGGGCCTATTCTTCCAAAGCCCAATAGAATCATAAAACAATCAATTCAGGCTGCTAATGAAAAATATCCAAGATCCGACTATATGACCCAAGATCCGCGTCCCATTCCGAGTTCTTTGTCTATTTTACCCCTTGCCGAATTTCTGAATGTATTCGTGGAATCAAATAATTCTAATGGCAATCTTTTGTAATTATTTACACTTTTTAAGGTTATTTTTCAGGTAATCCTTCCCAATTAATAGAATAGATATAGCTTTTTAAAAATAATAATTTTTTTAACATAAACAATATCTATAATGAATTCCCAGAGTAATCTATATGAAAACATTACAACTGAAATGGATAGTCTACTAATGTTTCATCCAATCCATTGTACTATTGTAGTAATCAAACTATTTATGGGAGTTCAAATATCTAGACTTAAACAATACCTACGAATATACACATGATTTCAGTAGTAGCATCTCAGCTTAGAATTCCCATAAATACACTACTTTGATAACTAGTACAATGGATTGGATTGAAACATTAGTAGACTAGAAAAAATACCTTTTTATCAAATATCCACTTTTAGAAGATTTCCAGCACGAACAAAAATTAGTGTATGGACGCTGCAGAAGCAGCAGAAATGTGTACTTGGATGGTTCACACGTTAGATTTCATGCCGACCAGCTGAATCGGCCCACCATCACTTTAAAGCTCTTTGACCCAATTCCGCGTTCTTTCGAATAACAATTTCAGAATTCAACTTTTTGACCTCCCATTTTTTACATTTGATTTTCTCCCTATAAAATTTAATTATTTCATTTTATTATGTCTTTGTTTTTTTTATGTCTTTCCTCGAGTATAACACTGTCGGAAAATATCAACTCTTAATCGTGCGCAGTCACAGAATTTCAAAAAAGGAATTACAGAAAGTCATCATTTATAATTTCATTACTAGACTTTTGAAAAGAAAAAAAGTTCCTTAGTAGTAGATCTATCTCTAGGAGACTACTAGTTTTTACTCCTGGTTTGACTGACCAAAATTGTCCATATAAAACATGTTGACAAAAAAGGGAACTATGAAGAGAAAAAAAAAAAAAAAAAACATGCTGCAGAGTTTTATTCATGTAACAGCATATTATGATCAGACAAAGCTAAATTTCAAATAAATCTTAGTGTTGTTTTGTTTATACCGGGTAACTGGAGATAAAACAGAAATCTCTAAAACTCTACATATCACATTACTTGTTTTATTGGTTCAGATATTTTCATCATCATATAGAATAATCCACCAATTCATGCCTAATTCTTAAAATTAGTTATACCAAAATTAAGTCTCATATAGAGACAAAAAAAACTTTGTTTGGAACAAAAGCAAATGACAAATCAGAACAACAAAGATTACATGTATATATAACTTATAAGTTAAAACAAGATAATTGAATGGTTATCCAAAGATCTCTCTCACCTAATAATAATCTTAAGATGACACAAATCCAAAAAAATTAAAATCACAATTTTGCCAATTTAAATACTTTGCTTTGTCTATTCTTGGTAGGTTTTGTTCTTCTCTCTTCCGTTCACACAATTTTCTTGGCGATCACGAAAGACAAAAAAGAAAAGGAAGAAAACAAGAGATTTCACCGCGATCAAATCGATTCCATTGCGCGTGTAACCGCAATGCGAAATTGGGAGAACCCGTTTACGCTTGCGTGTAACACGGCGTTGAAGAAGAATCTACATTCTTGCATTTTTCTCATCATCTTTATCAGCGTGTTATGTCCGGTCGCAATGTCTCAGGTGGTTGTGCCGGATTCAGATGCAGATTGTCTCTTGAGATTCAAAGATACATTAGCAAATGGTTCAGAATTTACTAGTTGGGATCCATCAACATCACCATGTCAAGGAAATACGGCAAATTGGTTTGGTGTTCTTTGTAGCAATTACGTTTGGGGATTACAACTCGAGGGAATGGGTTTGGCTGGGAAATTAAACCTTGACCCATTGGTTCCTATGAAGAATCTGCGAACCATAAGCTTCATGAACAATAACTTCAATGGTCCAATGCCTCAAGTTAAGAGGTTTACTTCGCTGAAATCTTTGTATTTGTCTAATAACCGGTTTTCGGGGGAGATACCCGCGGATGCATTTCTAGGTATGCCACTTTTGAAGAAAATTTTGCTGGCGAATAACGCGTTCCGAGGAACAATTCCTTCTTCTCTAGCCTCTCTGCCAATGCTTTTAGAGTTGAGGCTAAATGGTAATCAATTTCAAGGGCAAATACCATCTTTTCAACAAAAGGATCTTAAACTAGCTAGCTTTGAAAACAATGACCTTGATGGACCGATACCCGAAAGCCTTCGAAACATGGATCCAGGGTCTTTTGCAGGTAACAATAACAATGTTATACACATTAACATTTTCATATAGTGCTTTTAGAATCAAATTGTCATATAAAATTTGCATAAAACCTTTCAAAAGTTTGGTGCATTTTTCATGACATGAATGTTTTGTGTTATGTAAATTGTAGGTAACAAAGATTTGTGTGATGCTCCCTTAAGTCCATGTTCCCCTTCCTCTCCGGGAGTTCCTGTTGTTCCGGTATCTCCTGTTGATCCAAAATCTACTTCTCCTCCCACGGGGAAAAAGACTGGATCTTTTTACACTCTAGCAATCATTTTGATTGTTATTGGCATAATACTAGTGATCATCGCGCTTGTGTTCTGTTTCGTTCAAACAAGAAGACGAAATTTATTGTCAGCTTATCCTTCTGCGGGAAAAGAAAGGATAGAGAGCTATAATTATCATCAATCCGCAAACAAGAACAATAAACCTGCGGAATCCGTTGTGAATCACACAAGGAGAGGATCCACGCCTGATCCAGGAGGAAGGCTTCTATTTGTACGAGACGACATTCAAAGGTTCGGTCTTCAAGATCTTTTGAGAGCTTCAGCTGAAGTTCTTGGTAGTGGAACATTTGGTGCTTCATACAAAGCAGCGATATCTAGTGGACAAACATTGGTTGTGAAGAGGTATAAACATATGAACAATGTCGGAAGAGATGAGTTTCATGAGCATATGAGGCGGTTAGGGAGATTAAACCATCCGAATATATTGCCTCTCGTCGCTTACTATTACCGTAGAGAAGAGAAGCTTCTAGTCACTCAATTTATGCCTAATAGTAGCTTGGCAAGCCATCTTCATGGTATGTTTTAACATTACATTTCCTAGACTTTCATCTCAATAAAATTTTGCAATAATTAGGTAGTCTAACTATTTGAGTTACATGTTCGCAGCGAATCATTCCGTTGGATTGGATTGGATAACACGTCTAAAGATCATAAAAGGAGTAGCAAAGGGTTTAGCTTACTTGTTCGACGAGCTACCAACACTAACAATCCCTCATGGTCATATGAAGTCATCGAATATTGTTTTAGACGAATCATTCGAGCCATTGTTAACAGATTACGCTCTAAGACCGGTGATGAGCTCAGAGCACGCACATAACTTCATGACAGCTTACAAATCGCCAGAATATAGGCCCTCGAAAGGACAAATCATAACGAAGAAGACCGATGTTTGGTGTTTTGGTGTGTTGATCTTGGAAGTTTTGACAGGGAGATTCCCTGAAAATTACTTAACGCAAGGTTATGATTCGAACATGAGTCTTGTGACTTGGGTTAACGATATGGTTAAGGAGAAGAAAACAGGTGACGTGTTCGACAAGGAAATGAAAGGAAAGAAGAATTGTAAAGCGGAAATGATTAATTTGTTGAAAATTGGTTTGAGATGTTGCGAAGAAGAAGAAGAGAGGAGAATGGACATGAGAGAAGTTGTGGAGATGGTTGAGATGTTGAGAGAAGGAGAATCTGAAGATGATTTTGGTTCTATGGATCATCGAGGGACTCATAATAATTTATATTCATCCATGTTGTTAGACGATGATGACTTTGGTTTCTCGATGAACCGATGAGTTTCAGATTTTCGGTTTATTTTAGGAATATTGAAAAAGTTTCAAAAAAAGAGGTGAATATTCCGGCAGAAGTAGCTTCACCGGAGCCGGAGAGAAGAATGAAGAACATGTGCTTGGTTTTTCTTCTTTTTATGGTTAATGCAGATAAGAAAATGTATGAGCAATTAATGGACTAAAACATGTATATATTATGTATCTGTGTTACTGTATATCACCATCATTATCAGCTTTAGGTCTTGGTTCAACGAACGATTTGTATTTCAACTTTTTTTTTTTCCCTTTTCAACTTTATATTCTCATCGTGTTAAAAGTGTAGATTTTATATAATAAGATATTTTTCCTTTTTAATAACTTTGAAGTATATATCGTTTTTACTTACATACTTAAATATATATGTTTTATTTATATCTTTTATCTTAAATAGTTGTATTTTTTATTTTTATGTTAGCATTTTTTTTTGTGTTTTATTATATTTTCATATACATGTCAAAATTTGATTGATAGACTTATCGCGTATAACAATCATACAATCATGTGTCTAAACTTGATTCATAAACTTGACACATGTCACAATCATATAATCATGTGAGTTACTAACTTTGAAAACATTTATATAATAAGATAACCAAATACAAATTATCTTCCTCCAAAAAATTTATTTACTTGTGTTAGGAGAAATTTTTGGTATAATTCAACTCAGGTATTTCAGGTCACGGAAAATAAGCACCAAAATGAACTGAGTTTTATTTTGGTTATGTTTACTTGAGATTATTTATTCGATTTTTAGGTTTAAAAATAGAAAATAGAATTGATAGTATAGGTTTTTTAGTATTTTTACATGTATCTTTCTATATAATTTAGTTAAAAATATTAATTCCTATTAAGTCCGTTTTTTTTTTTTTTTTTTTTTTTTTTTTTTTTTTTTTTTGTCGTCAACTTTCTATTACACCATAATCAAGTTACATCATTCCATGATATTACAAGATTTAACTTTTTAACTCTAGCATCTTTAGCTAAACGATCAGCTACAAAGTTAACAAGACGTGGGATTTTGAAAAAACTAATCTCATTATAACTTTGGGCAAGATTCTTGATATCCTGTGAATAAGTCCGAAGAGAGGGATGCCCTTTCCAACTTGAGAGTTCCCTAAGTGGTTGGAACAGTTCTGAAGCATCACCACAAAACATAACTTCTACGTACCGAAGTCTCTTCACATGAAGCATTGCTAGCTTGAGAGCTTCAGCTTCTGCCTCGAGGGGTGTATTCGTCGGGTGAATGGACGACATTCCACGAAGTATAAATTGGGCATGTTTGTTATAAAGAGCCCATCCTATACCTGCACATTCAGTTGGAGATGTCCAAGACGCATCCACAAAACAACAATAACTTTTTGCTTGAGATGTAATATTCTTAAATTCTTTTTCTGGGTTAGAAATCTTCTGAGGCCTGTGACGGTTTGGGTTTAGCCTTACTTTCTCCTCGTGGAAATTCAAACTTTCTTTCCACATGGTGCTGATCTATGAGAGCCTTATTTATAATATCTGGAATGGACCATCTTTTATTGCTAAAAATTAGATCATTTCTCATTTTCCAGATACGCCATCCAATAAAAGGGAATAAACTTACATCCTCTCTTGGGTGTTTATTCAGGCTCTGCATTAGTACCATATTTTTATCAAAAGAGTTTCGATTAATTCAGTTTTTGTTACATGAAATTCAAATTCGATTCGGATAATTCAGTATACAATATTTTGTAAGTTTAAATTATTATAAAAATTTGGTTAATGTAATGTGATTCTGTTTGGTATGAACACCTGTATAATATGGCCTTAAAACACACACACTTTCCCTAGCCTGTTTAGAACAAGAAGTATATATATAATAAGGCCTAAAGATATTCAGGCCCAACTTTGAACCCAGAAAAACAATTTATACACTTTTAACTTTTTTAATTTTAATTATCTCTCTAGAAAATAAAAAGCCGAAGCACCACGCCTTCTCAACCTCTCTCTCTCTATCTTCTAGCCGCTGCAAAACTCTTTTGTAAATTTCGGTAATCGTCTCTCTAAATTTCCCCCAAATTTTTACCCGCGAAAATTAGGTTTTGTAATCTTCTAATTTCTTTTCAAATTTCGAAGAAAAACCCAAACTTTCTCTCAGAAACAAAAAAACTCAGATCTTCCCTCTCTTTCTCTCTTCTAGGGTTTCTCTCTCTCCCTCTCTCACTCACTCATTGGGTCTCTTTCTCTCCTCTCGTCAACGTCGTCTTGAAGATGGATGTGGCGATTAGTGATGTACCGGAGAATCTTGAATCTGTTGAAGAAAAGAGAGATGAAGAAAATGTGGAAGAATCGCCGGTGAAGAAGAAACCACGTTTTGACGAAGAAGTGAATAGAGTGGCAGAGATTGTATTGGTGTTATCAGCATTGCGGAAGATTCGAGGTGGGAAAACTCCGACGGAATTGGAGATTGAGCTAATGGTTGAAGCTAAATCGAAATTGGTTGACATGTGTCAGGAGTTTACTCCTAAAGATATCATTGGTATTGATGCTATTGGAGCTGTCATTGAAGATCTGGGTTTGAATGGTAAGCTTAAAGATCAGAGATTAGGGTTTCGAGCTCCTAAATTAACCATCTCTGAGAAGCTGTCTCTTGGGAAGAGAAAGGTTTGTTGTCTCCTTTCTTCAATCTCACTGCAATATAGCTGATGGTTTATTGATGATATAATATGTTTTTTTCTCTGATGTTTCTCTACAGATGGAGGAATTGAAAAAAGCCCCAATAGTATCTACTACCTATACATCTCCAAGTCATTCAACTCCAGGTATGAGTATGGATACAATCTGTATTTTCAATAAAACCATCAGCTAATAACTTCAGGAGTCAGTCGTGACAAACTTCTTCACTGTATGATTTTTGCAGCAGCAAATAATGTTTCTATGGCACATCAGTGGCCTAATAGCGATATGAAGGCATCTGCTAGTTCTGTTAATGCATCTGGAAGCCATTTCGTTAGGGAAGCATCAGGAATAACACAAGCTAGAATGGAGAGACCGCAGTTTAAGTCAGATGTGCATACCGGTACTTCTCAGGGACCAGGTATGTCCACTTTGCTTACCTCCTTCTGTCCCCATTTTATATATTCTATAGATATTCAGACTGATAGAAGAAATAGCTCAAATTTTGTGTTAGCTGGTGAATTTTTTTGGTTGATTTGCTATGGATTTGTATTGTACTTTAGAAGTTAAAAACTTGATGAAGAACCTTAAGTGCTACTTCTGAGTACTAGTGCCTTGCTTGGTATAAATTTTTGAACTAGCCCTCCATTTTCAGAGTGTTTTTATAAGTTTTGTTGTCTGTAGAAAGCTTACTACTGACTTCTTTATTTCCTGTTGGCACTTGGTAAATTCTTTATATGATCTTGTTTATCAGTTCGTTTTTCCCATGAGATTTTCATATCTTCTTTTTCTTCTTTTTATTGTTAGTGGACAAGTATTCCTGATCTCTCAAGTTATTACCTTTTCTTATGAACCAGCAGTTCCTGCCGGAAATTACTTTGGGAATACTACATCTTGGTCTGCCCAACCTCATTCCAGTTCCTCCACCATATCATTTGGTACTGCATCGGATAGCAAGGTTCCTGTTCAGGGTTCTTCCAGAATCTCAGATCCGAGCTTTAGACCATTTATGTCTCAAACTCCACCAGGGGCATTCCCAGGCATGAAAGGGGTGACTTATGGTCAAACTTCTTCATCTTTTGGAAACAACCACCATGCTGAAATTGCTAAGTTGATACATAAAGTTCTGCAACCGCGAGCTAAACAAAATCTCTCGTGGAACCCACCTTCAAGAGAATACATGAGTAAAGCATTGACATGCCAGATGTGTCAAGGAACTATCAATGAAGTAGAAACGGTGCTAATCTGTGATGCTTGTGACAAAGGATATCACTTGAAATGTCTACAGGCTCACAATATAAAAGGTGTTCCGAAATCTGAATGGCATTGCTCAAGATGTGTGCAATTGTACAATGGCAAGTCTTTTCCTCCTAAATACGGCCGTGTCATGAGAAGCGCCACTACAGCAAAAATGTCTTCTAGTACAGCTGAAGTTCAGATACCTGCAGAGAAGAGGGTTGGTAAAATGGATCAAAAGGTTAGTCAAGAGGCAATGCCACATCTTGAGACAGCAAAACCAACTAAGGATTCAGCTATGGAACAAACAGTTGAAGCTGAAGATGGAGCTATGAATCCAATAGTGGAAAAAGCTATGAGTCAAATAGTTGAAGCTGAAGATGCAGCTATTAATCAAGCAGTTGATGCTAACTTAAAAACACAATTTCCTATAGGAAACGATGATGCTGAGTGTGATGATCCTTCAGAACCAGTATCTCAATCAGAGACTCTTAATCCTCCAGAACTAGAGGAAAAAAAAGTTCTGAGCAAAGATCCTACTGAGAGATCTGTTTCCGCAAATAGTCAAGATAAAAACTCGAAGATCATAGATGAATCATCATTACAAGTGGAGAACTCAGCTTCTCAGACAGAGAACTCACCAACCCAGCCTCCTTTGCAATCCAACACAGATCATTCCCAACCGCAGAACACGACACCAAATGTCGAAGAGGCTATACAGAAAAATGTGACAGAAAATCCAGAGGAAGACAAAAGCTGTTAATGTTTCAGACAAAAGTTGCAGGAATCAGAATTCACTCTGTCCACAGCAGTCAGTACTCGCACTCTATTTGGTCCTCAAGTATATATAAAGTAAGTGATGATGTCTTTGATTTAACCTTTTGGGGTAGGTTGAATTACTAAATCTTTATTCTATGAAGTGCGTATGGCCGTTCAATTTTCTGAGCATAAGTAGTGACTGATTTAGTTTAAGCTTAGTACTTATAGCTTGAACTTTTTTAAGACTATGTGAAATATTTCCTTAATTCACTGTAACCTTATAATTTCCCACATCATCTAGTAACATGATATGTGTTGTAGTACAAGACTCGGAAAATAAATTTATCTCTTTTGCTAGAATTACATTACAAGGAATTTGTAAAAATTCACAAAATACAAGAGAGCAAAATAGAGAGGCTTTTTATTTCGAATCTAATTTACAATAACATGAACTCTATAACGAATAATAATACAGTGGCGTATTTAAAACCCAAATAATTTGATTTACAGTAGAAATTAGAAAGTGAAAGTGATTCATTGCCAAAACATTAGGAGGTTTCTTGATGATCCCAAAAGAGATTCAAGAAATTCCAATGGTTTTACCGAGAAGCCAGAGAACAAGAGACAATTCAAGTCCGAAGATTGTATGGAGAGTACCTCTATCAAGTGTAAACCCATACACTGTGATTCCTGCTCTGTTATTCTCAAAATAACTCACTACAAAAAATCCAACCAGACATAGTTTTAAGTAAACCATTCAGACAAAAAAAAAAAGCATTGCACAAAATTTGTATTCTCTTACCTAGAGCTTGCCGTTTTTGGAATGACATGGTACTGAATGCATAAGCAGGAATGATATTATTATTGTCTAGATCATCTTCTTCATCACCATACTCGTCACTGTCTGATTCTGTCAACGTAATAACATCATGGCCATTGTTGTTATCGTTGTTGTTGTTTCTAGCAACCAAAGTTGGAGTCTCTCCATCTACTGTCTGATCAAAGGATTCTAACGTCGCGCATACATGCCATTTCGCAGCTAAACATGTCACAGCTTGAGCCTTATGTGTGATCTTTGATGCACTTCGTAATAGTATCAGAAGTGCAGTGACTAATGTCATCGAACAAAGCTGAGATCAAAGCAAAGAAAACTGTAAGTTTTTAGCAAAATGGGTTTATCGAGAAATGAACATGGAGACTGAAGAGACTTACAGCGAGTTCTCCAGCTCTGTACATATTGACTTCAGTGTAAGCTTTGGTAGTTATAAGCAGAGAAGAAAACTGACTTCCAGTAACAAGAATCAATAAACATAGAATGAAAGAACGATATCTATGGCTGATGATTCTAAGATGACGTCTGATACGAAGATGTTCAGACAAGATCGAACCAACATCTGAATCAATCTGAAAAAGCTTAGCAAAGTCTTGAAGACGAAGGATCTGAAGATGGCAAATGAGACGGAAGAGAACACAAACAAGGAAGATTACGGTTGTTCGGTATAGCCAAGAACAAAGCTCCATTATACAAGCCACTGTATCACTTAACACAACGTTTCCTAAAAACGGTATTCGAGATCCACCTGATGCGTACCACCAAATTTTGTATGCACTCATTGCTGAGAAACAAGGTATCACAAAGTAGGATACAATATGAAGCGAAGTCTGCAAAAAGAAAAAAAAAACAATTGTAATGCTTGCGAAACAAGTAATATGGTAAAAAATCTAGGTTTTTACTACAAAGAAGTCACAGAAGTTTAAAACACAAAAATGTTACAGAAGATAGTGAAAATAACATAATTATTAAATTTTCTTCTGTCATTGTTACTCAATCAAGATGCGTCGAGTTGTTTCCTAACTTTATAATATTCAATATTCATGATTCTTCTCCTTTGTTCTATTATTTTTTTTTTCTTTTCAATATGACTTTTATTCTTTGGACAAATTATTTGCCATAAGCATAAAAGAATAGAATATTAATTCCTTAGAATTTGTGGCAGATATGAGTTGTTGTTTTTTTTTTTTTCGATTACAAAAATGTTCAAAGAAAAAAACAGATTTGTGATTCAAAAAGAGAAACTCACATTGAGTTGATTGGTATAATTTCGTCGAACGGTTTCGCTCTCATCCCATAGTTTATCAAAGAAGAGGAATCGTCGAAGACCGTATTTGCTAACGAATCTGGTGAGACAGAGGAAAGAGACGGTGGCGACGCTGCTTAGAGAAAGCTGAACAACGGAATCATAAGGTCTTGAATGGTAACTGTCGCAATCGGCACAAGCGAGAAGGAAGTGAGAGATCGCAGGAACGACGAGAGTGAAGACGACGAACATGGTCCAAGAGAGAATCGCTGTCCATGGACTTGAGTGATCTACGCACATCCATCTTAGGTATTTTCGGAAGCTGTGTAGCTCGTCTTGTTGGTGCGAAACGCAGCGATTGAAGATCTTGTTGTTGTTGTTGTTTTCATGGTTTATCAGCGGCTCTTTCCCGACGTCGATGTCTATGTCCGCCATGGACGATCGATTAAGAAAAGGCGTTGCGAGAGAATCAGAGTTTTTTGAGAGAGAAGAGATCGCGTTTGCGTTCGTTTTGATCTGCGATTGGGTGATGCGATCTGTGAACAGAAGTGAGACGAGAAACGCTATTTATAAGTTAGTTAATTTTTTGTTGGCGTGTGTATTGTGATTTTTTTAAATTTGTCTTGTGTAAGTAGTTATCTAAATTGCAGTTAGTGAGAGATTATATTTGGAGTTAGTCAGACAAGTGTTAATTGAGTTAATGACTTTTTTTTTTTTCAAAACAACAATTAAGTGTTGTTTTTTTTTCAAAACAACAATTGATTATTTTAACTTAAAAAAAAATTCATTCCTTTCAAATCAAAATATTACTCTTAAACAGATCTAGTTAATTTTTATTACAATAACATGAATAACTTGTTTTGTATCAAAACTATAAACACAAACTTAATTAGAAGATTATATTAGATGGAGTGGGGACCCACTAACCATGTGTTTTATGTTATCTCAGATCACCGTTGAAGCATCGCCACGTGTGCCGTTTGGCTGTTCCTTAATAACCATATTTATTTATTTTAATTTTCTTTTTAATCACTAAAATTGTCGATCTGATTTAAGAAAACAAAAGCATCATTTGAACAGCTAATACACACTTGTAATTCTGTCGGTCCTGTGTTTCAAAACGTATTCTACCTTGTAATTCTCCTTGGCTTATTCTAATGGTAATCATTCAGTCGGAAAAAAAAAAAAACAGCTAATACACACTCTTTTTGAATGTACGATGATTTTTTTATTTGAATTCCTAGACAAAGAACTGTTTTATATAACCACCGGCGGGAGATGTCTTAAGTTTACTGGAAGAAAATTTTAATATTTATAAGCATACGAATGTTTAACTCAAATAATGCTTATTATCAAATCGAATGCTTTTTAATTGAAAAAGTTAATAATTGTGAATTCTTTGAAATAAATTCGTTTGTTTGTATCTGGTTGATTACTTGTAACCTTGTCAGGGTTTTAGTGGCTATGTTTTATAGACGCCATATGGACCATAAAACGGTGCTCAATTACTTATCTCACATGTTTAGTATTAATCACACGATTTCATGAATTAATTTGTCTTACCACAATTTTTAACCTGATGAGTGATGGATGACCTACGTTTTAGTGAAAGAAAATAAAAGAATATGTTCCAATTGTTTTGAGGTTTGACAAAATTTAACAACTTCCATGACCTTTATGTTTAATTATCAGTTTGTATGCTTTATTGCATTCTTCATCTTTCTCTTTTCATCATGTGCAATTTTGGCGTTCCATTATGTTGCTAATCGAAATCGTTCGTTATTATGATATCATATTTTTCTAAAACGTTATTTGGATCAACAAAACCCGACTCATAGCAAATTGAACGAGAATATATGAAATCAAACTCCAGTGAATAAATAGTATACGTAAACATTTAACCACATGACCAAAAACATTTTCTCTATGATATCCTAGTTGTCAAACACAAACACCAACACAATTGTAGATGCAATATTACTCAACACAAGCGTAACCATGAATATGTTCATTACTATGATCATATTTCTTTCTTCTAGCATAATACATGACGAATTCACCGAGTAAAAAGTGGTGTTTGTCTTTACATCGAAAAATTATTTAATGTTATCACTAGTGTTTGTCTTAGGATTCTTTTGTATACTAATTGATCTGGGCATCTAAAAAGCCAGGCCCGAGCTTATGGATAGCCTAAGCCCATTATAACTTTATAAGCCTACAAACTATCTCGTTCCTTACCAAAATTATTCAATCATTCTCGAATTCGAAATGATAATCAATATTAACATTTTTAAAATACAACTTATAAAATAATATTTCTATAGATAAATTATTACACATAATTGAAAGTTAGAACTGGACAATAATATCCGTTATCTATACTCGATCCGTTATCTGACTCATACACGTCTCAAAAAAGATATATGTAATCTTAGGATCGGATGAAGATAAATAAAAAATATTATAATTCTATTACTTGCGGATAAAAGTCGAGTATCGGTATATTAATTATATTTTTAGTTTTCGTCTAATTACCCAATCCGTTATCCGCTTTATTACCAGATTCGTAAATGTCGGCTTTATTAGTATTTTATAATATTACTAATAATTTAAAAAAAATATTTTAGAGTGAAAGTTAAAATCTAACTTCTAAAAAATGTTCAATTATTATTATCGATATATTTCACCTTTATAAATATTATGAGTATTTATTAAAAAAAATTAAAATATCACGAGACAGATTATATGGCAGGAAAAGTTCGGATCAACCTTGATCTAAATTTAGATATTGTTAACCCGACGTTGCAATACGGATTTAAATCTTTATTTATAATTTTATCAACACCACCAATATTAGACATGTCGAATCAAATTAATTTAGTTAATATTGTGTAAAAAATTGTTTTACGGGGGATAAATTCTAGTCTCTTATTATACTAAAGTAAAGTTTTGATTTGTTAATCCAGTAATGGTGGCATGAAATAATCAAATTTGAGAGTCCTCAAATATTTAGTAATAATAAAGGTTTGCAAAATCCCTGCAAATTACCTCACATATTTTTCCTTAAATATTCTATATGAGTTTTTTGAACAAAAAATGTTCTATGATTTTATCTCTAGTAAAATCGCTGCAATTAAATCACATTAATTTTTCCATAAATGTTCTATCATTTTATATATATATATATATATATATATATATATATATATATACACTAGTAAAATTTGTGTTATAACAAGATTCAGTAGAAAAAGTAATTTTTGGACAACAGTTAAAATAAACTTGTGGGTTTGGTTTAAAACCCAAAGGTCGTTTAATAGTGTCTGAAAGGTGGCAGAAAAAGTAAAGTTAGATACCCGAATTTGAGGGTAACGCCGAACACAAAATCTAATCTAATGGGTCAAACACGAAACGAATCTGCCTGCCACCATACACCTCTCAAAGATTTATTATCAATTGCCCACCAAACTCAACCAAAACAATTGTCTCAATTACCTAAAAAATTTCTTTAACAAAAACCAAAAGCTAGAAAAATACCCTTTTTTAACCTAAAATAAATTAGTTTTAATTCAGAAAAAATCACAAAAAAAACTTTCAACAACACCACAATTTTAGGTTTAAGAGACGTTTTGAAAACTTCTAACAACTTTTACTAAATTTTTAAAATTCTAAGAGTTTGGTAAATAATCCTGGAAAACATAAGATCTAGCATACCCTTTAATAACTAAATAACAAGTTTTAATTCAGAAAATATCACAACCTTCAAACTTTTAACAAGCTTTACTAAGCTTAAATAATCATCTTGAAATTTTTTTAAGATCTGGGTATTAATTTTGAAGTTTTAAGATGTACAACATTTTTAAGAATTACCCAAAAATCTTAAATCTCTAATTAACCAAATCACTCATTAAAGAAGAGAACTTGTTCAAATTCATACATGTGAACAGTTTTCTCAACGAGCTTCACTTATCTTTCTTCTAGCTTAATTCACCAGAAGGTAAAAAACTTCAAGACATCCATAATTCTAAACAAGAACTGATCTTTGAACAAAACCCATCAATTATTGATTCGGACCAAAGCCATAATAATGTGAAAAATGCAGAGCTCAAAGAAGATGAAGATCTATAAAGAAAAAAAGGATTCTAGATTTTTATTTAGAATCATCAGTGTTCCAAATGTATATGTTACAAAGATTCTATCTCAAGAAAAACGAAACCCAGATCTGCTTTTTTCTTACAATAAAACAAACAGACACAACAGATCATCGTGTTCGGTCTTCCTCTTCTTGATTTTGAAGATTTAGTAATAATAAAAATAATAATACTCTTACAATATCATCACAGAAGAAACACAGAACCAGCTCAAGCTCATCACCATCTTCTTCTTCTTCGTTTCTTTGTCTTTCTATTTCTCCCGCATAGTAAAAATTATATGAGATCAACGAAACAGAAAACTTAAAAAAAAAAAAAAGGGATTTGTTTTTGTTTGTTCCTTTAAAATCAAATCGATCACGGATCTGTGACTTTGTTTTCGATTTACCCATTCATTAGAGACGTAGATCGGTACAGTGAAGATCATCAGAGCCATTGAACAAGTCAACATCATCCAACGGTGGAAAATTTAGATCGAATTGAAACGGCGGATTCCGTCGCCGCGATGACGATGCGATATCGTCGTCGTCGTCGATTACAGACGACGACGAATCGCAATCGCTGTGACAATCCTCCGGAACAACCGGTGGAGTTCTGGGATATCTCTTCGTCGTGGCCGGTTTCATCGTGGTAGGTCTCGGTCCGCTAAACGATTCAACGGTGCTGCTCATGCTGCTACTAGTCGGCCGGTTAACAATCGGAAACTGTTGTTGATGGTCGGCGTATAACCGGTGGTCCATAAACGGATCGACTTGATTTTGATTTTGATTTTGAATCTGATTAAATCGTTGTTGAGGAGAAGGAGAAGAAGAATCGATCGGGAAATTAGTTTTGGCTTTTGGACCACGGAGGTTACGAGCGGCGGAGTCGTAAGCGCGAGCAGCTTCGACGGCGGAATCGAAAGTACCTAACCAGACACGAGCTTTTTTCCATGGATCACGGATCTCAGCTGCGAATCGTCCCCAAGGTCTCTTCCTAACGCCTCTGAATCGTGTTTCTTTAACAGATCCGTTGATGACGGTGCCGGTGATGGCGGCAACGGCGGTAGGTCCGGCGACGGCGGAAGAGCCTCTTCCTCTCCTCATGATAGTGGATTTAAGAGAAAGCCAGAAGTAATGGTAATGGAGAAAGGATCTGAGAGAGATTTTTGAGAAGGAGAGAGAGGAAGAAGAAGAAGAAGATGAGGGAGATGGTGGGAGGAATGGGGAAGATAGGAAACTCTCTCTTCAACACAAAAAGCTCTTCCTCTTCTTTCTTTTTTATTAATTAAAATTCAAAATTTAATGAATAAAAATTGTGATATTTTGAATTTTTTTAAGGAATTTAAATTTATAAAATTGGTTGGAATAGTTTTTTTTTTTTTGCTCTCTCGAATTCTCTTCACGCTCGCCCCACAAGACCGACCAACTCGGTTTCTTATCATTTTGCTCTTCTTTTCTTTTCGTTTTTTCCTTCTGTTTATTTGTTTTGTTTATATCAACCGAAAATTAGAGATTGCAAACCATTAGTGTAAAGCTAAATTGGTGGTGAATAACCTTTTTATTTTCTACCCAAAAGATTAGTCTTCGAAATACAAGATTATTGGCGAAAAAAAAATGAGAACAAACTAAACTCGTTAATATTAGTTTTGAAAATTAGTTATCTTGAAAAAAAAAAAATGTATGAAACATTAGGAGGTTGTTCCTAACAGAAGGAAAACCAATTCTCCTCTTATTCATAACTGAAACAAATAACATCATTTAAAAGAAACATGAGACATTAATCGATTACTTCATGTATGTTCGGTTCCAAAAATCTTGTCTAGTTCTGGTTTCGTTCGATTGATGGTTCCGCTTGGTTTTGCAGCTGCATCACTAACCCAAATAAAAGTATATCTCATCTAAGATTTGTATTCTTGGCTAATGGAAACTTATAAACTGAAAATCAAATCATTTGTAGTTTAGATAAAATGATTTGTAGTTGGTTTGTAATGTCTTATTTCTTTTTGTATTTTCAGTTTGTACCACTATAAATTATAATTTATGAATGTTAAACAAAAAGAAGTCTTAATAGACCGTTCTATCCTTATCAACCATTCAAAACTTTTGTTTTTTGTCTACACTATCAACAAAGATAGGAATCGAACTCCTAAAATGAGAACTGAAAATCCGTAAATTCACCTCTAGACTATGAACATTTTAAAACCCGAACATACTATTATATATCCTAAGATACAATGGTTATTTGTGTATGTGATCTAGAGATTAAACTGTTGTAAAAGGTGAATAAATTCCTGTTGTCTTCTTTGTGCACCTTTGATGACACTTTTTAATTCAAATTCGTAATTTAAACTTAGAAATAATTTGAAGGTAGTTAGAACAAATTAGCAATTCAAATTCGAAACGCATCATCATATCGATAACAAAAGAAAACAAAAAAGAGAATAAATAATTATTATTTTTCGAAAAAAGAAAAGTTGATATATAGAGAGAGAGAAAGAATGGTGTCTCGATAGGTGTGGTAAGAAGAGGAGACAAGGGAAAGAGATTGGCACTTGCTTCTCTGCTGCACTCTTCTTCATTGCACCTCCCCCTAATATTTTATATTTCTCTTCTTCTTCTTTTCTTTATACGCCAACACCAAAAGACTCACATTTCTTGTTATTTACTAAATCACACCCCTCACTCTTTCACAACAACAAGAAAAAGGAAAAAAAAATCATCAATAATTTCATAATCTTGCATGATAGTATAATTTTTTTAAACCTTTTATAATGTTTTATGAAATTTCAATACTAAATCAGAGTTTAATGACCAAAAAATATATTGTTACATTTTTTTTCCAGTTAAATTGAGAGATTACTTAGTATTATTGTAGAATCAATGAATTTTATACAAAAAAACATAGTGTAATTGATAAAAATAAATATTGAACTAGTTTCACGAATCTATATCATTTTTTTAATTAGAAGTGATCCGAGGTTTTACAATTCGACTAATCCTCCCGGAAAATCATTGTATATTGTTGTAATTTAATTATCAAAATTAAGTGAATATTAATTAAATTTCTACATTTTTATTGTCGTTAAATTATAATTCTGTTATTCTAAAAAATAATAGTTTAAATATTATCGTTGGATTCTTTTTTAGAAAAGAAGTTAACATATATTTTTTTGTTAACATGAAATAAATGTGGTTGAAGCTAATAACAAATAGAATAGTCATCTTAAGAGACGACGAGACGCGTTAACGAGTGGTGAAAAGTGGGACACAATAGTTTTTCATTTTTGATTCAGTTTGCTCCTTCCACGCTTTTTCATTTCTCTCTTTCGTCTTCCTAATGACATCTCCCCCTCAACTTTTTATTTCCCATTATAACTATTTTCTTAATATATTACTTCCAAAAAAAACTCACATATCAAGGAGACAATTCGATTCATAGAGCCTAACACAAAAGGCAAAAAAAAAATACAAATCTTGATACAAAACTATATATATTGTTTTCCCCAATCAAAATTCAAAACTACTTAAAATGCAGTTACTGCTTAACCATTTAGAAAGAAATATAAACCATTTTAGTAATGTTGGATCCGAATTAGCATATACAACTACGTGTCACAGAACCGTTACATGTGTTATTAGTAATTGATCTTTAACGACGACCAAAACTTTGTTAATAAGAAAACACTCACTTTTGCATAAGAACCAAAACCATCTTAAAACTAATCTTATCTTCCACGACCACATGGCTTCCCCATAGATATACATGTGTTGATAATATATACAATCAATTTTTATCTTGTATGAACCAGAAAAGGTATGTATATTCATTTCTGTCTTATCCTTAATTTTCCAATCTAAAAATATTATCAACAAAAATGAAGAACTAAATAAATTCAGAAGCTTATAAGGTAGAGTGTGGGTTCCACCAAACTAAATTTTAGTAAATTTAAACAATGAAACTATGAAAGGTGTTGAACAAAAAGAAAAACATTGAAAGATAATGTGCTTATACACACATCGAACTTAGTAGTTCACGAAAGGGACTCTTTTTTCAAGTGGTCAAAAGGTTTTTTTTTTTTTTTTTTTTTTATAAATCATTCATTTATCTCAATGGCTTTGGGCCTTTGGCAGATGAGTTACTATATAATGATTATAATCTAAATTGAATGAGATTTATTTTATAAGAAATTCTGGGCCTGATAACAAAAAACTTTATGGGCCTAGATTCATTAATTTACTCGGGCCGGAAACGGAACTGGTTAAATAAGATATTGCAATGTTCGTTTCTGTAACTGTTGCTATAACTTTGAAAATATTTCTTAGATGGTCAATAAAAAATAAGTATAACGTTTGAGTTACCCGATGCTAGACCATTAGAATTAGAGATATTGATGGAGTTTTGTCGACCAAAATAATGTAAGAAAAAAAAAAAACCAAAAAGAAGGAAAGTATGTAGACAAGAGACCTTCAAAACAATTCCAAACTAGAAACCCACCACACACATACTATGAAAATGTTGCTCAAATATTTTACTTAATTGGACCTAAAGCATAATGTTCTAAATTCTCTACGGAGGATCAGCCATATGAAAATGAATGTAGTTTTTTTTTTTTGGTATCAATGTTAAGTAAGATAATTGTAGTTCGTTCGACTCGTTTTAGATCTTTAATTATACGTAAACATGGAAAAAAAGCTAACAATCATTTTAATGTTGTTACTAGGGATTAGTACGCCCGGATATATAATTTAAAATTTGATATTTTGAATTTAATTAACTTATTAGTTGTCAATGAATTTAGTATACATGAAGAAAATATTAATATAAACTTAAACAATATATTTAACTATTGTTGTTAGTCTATATAGTAAAAAAATCATGTGGTCGCTATGTGCAAGTTTTAACCAAAAATATGTATATGTTAACCAACAATTCTATGTGTCAATCAGGATTAAACGATAAACATCATTGAGCATATTCTCTTTCAATTCGTCTCGTGCCGTCTTCTTCTTGACAATGATCTCCTATTATGTTGCTAATAGAAACCTAGAAGGCTCAAAGCATAGAGAAACAATACTTAGTGAAATGATTTTATTTTAAATCAGTTTTCTTGCTAATCAATAGTATCAATCGAGTATGGATAGCAAAGCAACGGGGAAAGAGAACAACTGAATACGTATTGAGAGGGAATAACTCTTGAGTAACATTTCGAGATTACAGTTTTTTCAACAACTAATGCTTAGGAGCCAATTTCTTTGCTAGAAAATAGTTCCACACTAATCCTGAAAACTCAATGAGTTTATGCATGTATTAAGGTTAGTGTGGGCATTAGATATAGTTTGATTTAGCACATATTCCTGCAATTAGTAAGAAGCTGTAAATCATAGAACATTAGCAAATTGGTGTAGTGATGAAAGAGCTAACTTATTGTAATAAGAAGCTAACTCCATGTGAGGTGTTGTTTCTCCTCCGAGGCTCCGACTTTTAAGTGTTCCAAATATACCCCCTGAGCTTCTTCCTCTGCTCTATTTCCCAAAGCTTTTTTTTTTGTTGTGATCTCTTCTCTTGAAACTCTATCACAAATGCTTTTTTATGGTTCATTAATTAGCTCCAATAGCTTATACATCCTCTAATTTTTATCATGTTCCGTCGAAAAAAGAAAAATATTGCCAATAAAAAGAATAATATGCAAACCTTTGCCAATAAATTAAACTTTCAGGAAGTTATCATTTGATAGAGATGAAGTGACCCTAATTGGTAATCGATGCAACTTCCATCACCACACCAAACCCCATAAATTGGATCGATGCCTCACATGAGGAAACAACATGAATATATTAACATATGGTTTATGTAGGCTAATTTTAAAACCCCGATAAAATTGAAGAGTAATAAGCAAAAGAAGAGATGAATAGCCAAATCTTACCTAACGTGTGCCCTGAAGAGGTTGTTGATGTTTAGAAAATCATACCATGCTATTACGCTTAGAATCGTGAATGTTGAGCTGAAAACGGCAGAGATCGTGAACTTTGTCGATTTATTTACGAACAATTTAATATCATGGGAGAAATTTTCATTGGTGCATCAAAGGAATCTGTTTTTTTTTCATGAAGAAATAAGTGACTGAAAGAGGAATAA